CGATTTATGGTTGATTAGTGCATTACTAGAATCACAACTTTATACTTTTGAAGAGTACGATCTTTTCCTGATGCCATACTACAAGTTTCTGCAGAAGCTGCTGCTTCAGCTGTGAACCCAAACCAGACTAGGTCTGTAAATCAACATAGCCTTTTGCAGTGGGAGAAATCGTCTTCGTAGCAAACGCGCGTGCTACTTTTCCATAACTTTATCAACTTCGTTAGTTGTGTTGAGTTATATGCCGAAGTAACCCGGCAAAGTTTAGGTTTTTCTTTTGAGACTAATACCCTTGACCTAATCATGAGTAATAAGCGCTCCGTTTTTAGTTTTAATCTACACATTTAAAACTTTTACCATCCTTTATAAAGAGAAAAATGAAATTTTTCTCACTGTCCAAGCTTCCGCTAGACTGCGTTTCCATTGTTACAAGCGTAAAATTAAAGAGATATCGAAATTACCTATTATACGGACCGTCACTTGTTGATACAACCATAATTCTAAATTAATTTACGCTAACCTACGCGTTAAGAGCTTCTCTCTGGAAACCAAATGTTTGTATAACCATGAAAATCTCATACGAATATTTGCAAATTTTAAAGGCCTCTCTAAGTACATGAAGTGTTTTGACCGCAAAGTGTTACTGAGGTGAACGATGGGGATTGTTGTAGACGTGGTACGTCCCGATCAATGTAGAGGAAATCAAGTATCGCTGATATTTCCTCACTCATATAGGATGTCCCTCGTAGGCAAGTAATCGGTGACGAGCTTATACATTGCAAAATGGAGGTTAAAGTGAAAAGAGTAGGAAAAAAGTGATTTAATTCTTGAGGAATAACGAGCACACCTACATGAACAATTTGTGCATGATAACCAGAGGCGTGCGATTTCTCGACAGATTGATTCGCAAATGTATTTAAGATGCCAAAACCAGGTGCAACAGCGACGTTCATGCAAATGTTCAGGAAGTTGCAGGATGAAAAATCGCTTCTCGCTTCATTCATAAAACCCTAATCAAAAAGCTAATTTTCATTGTGTTTCCGCGAAAGCGCCATAGGTTTGCATACGTCAAAAGATATAAATCGTCGGAGGGTATCACGGGATGGCCACTACTATATGCTAAACGTTTTGAGTGTACTTATCCAAACTACCTTAATCATCATAACATTGTTTTTGCAATAAACTACAAAACTGGTTGCATTTGTTGTCAATTCCTTCGGTCACATAATGTTGAATCCATATTTGACAGTTGCTATACATCGGCAGAAGATCGTTTAGGATGGATCTGAATTTGTTATGCTACATTTCTCACAGACGAGAAAGAGTTTATTTTAGTAGGATAGTTGTGGATGCTAAAGTTTGGGACTTCTATGAATGTGCCTTATATGCATTATAAAAATAGTCATAGTTAAGAATGTCATTTTGTTATCAATGCGATTTTTTTGGCCATTTCTTAACTAGGATTCCTAGAAATGGTATAACAATACCCATTGCGTTACTGGTATGCACCATAAGGCAAAACAATCAAACATGCACAGCACTTTCACCTTGAATACAATTGGAACCGTCATATGAAATGGATTGGCATCTCCGTCAATACCTATGTATTAAAGATCCAATTAAATACGGTCACAATGGTTACTAATATATATGAAAACTCCTCGATTGTTTATTGAAATTCCGTAACTTCGTGTGAAAGTGTCTCATGAATAAATAAGCTCAAAGTACGTAACTTGTCCTGTGCAAGACCAGATACATTCGAAAATGGCAATATTTTGAATGGTGCTGTTTGGCCTGCTGAAAGCTACTTTGACATGGTTGTGATTTTCAGTTAGGCCCACCGTAACGCTAATGGGTAGAATTAAGCGTCCATAACCAAAGGTTTAACTAGCAAATTACAGTACTTTATTTTCATCTTTTGTGTAGGTCTTAGGGTATTAATGATGAAACAATTGAAACTTGACATTTGGAATCGGTGATAAAAAAAAGGCATGATTTATCATTAATAGAAGCCCATAAGGTAATATTTAATGGGCCGTCCTTATTATTCTACGTTAACCACCACAACGTAGTAACCACTTGCAGACCAGGAACAAGAGTAATGCGTTCAATTGTTCTCAAAACAAAGAAACATTTGCTCTTCGTGTCAGCAAAACATCACGTCCCTTCCGACGGTTCTTAAGTCATAACCCTTTGTAAACTTCACTAGAGGGAGTACTAGCCTGAAATATTCAAGGAGCATTGAAGCTCCATAACGCACGTATTTCAAACACCCATTGCTATTCGTAGAATAATTTGCGTAGAGGCAGACCAATTCAGCATAACATAGTATGAAGCGGTTCGTTCAAACTACTACTTTATTTCTGCCTCACTGCTGCTGATTATTACTTAATTTGAAAATATTTTAAAATTTCCACATGATTTGCCCAAAATGGGCGCACCAAAATGACAGGCAGACCCATAACAGATGCTTTTAAATTGTTCACGTCTGTGTCTCCAATCAATTTGGGAGAGAATCTCCCCAAATTTCATTATTGACAATCATATGCTCTCCTATATCGTTTAGGCTTAGTATACGTAACAAATGGAAACAGATTTTTATCTTTATAGGTCAAGTTCACTGGTTACTTATTGATGTTACCAATGCGCTGCCTAGGTCCTCGTTGTGTCATGGATATGCAGAAGGACTGATGACTGTAATGCTCCGGATCATTCAGAACGGCTGAGGCTTTCGGCCATGCCTCCAAGCAGAAGAACAATCTTTAAAGGATTAAGTGTCTACGTAATCAGACGCAGAGTTAAACAGAGCATTACAAGAAGCCAACAAAAAACAACTTGATGCAATACGATGTTGATGAACTGCCAAAACAGTTGCTCCTTGAGGAGTACTTACTTGAACTCGGTAATAATATTTGTACCTTTAGGAATCAAAGCTGATAGCTTTTACTTTAACATAGGTTACATAATTAGTTGTGTTCTTGAAACTACCTTTGACTGTTTACGTCCCGTGGTATTTCAATTTCAAAAGCACTCATAATGTTTCGAATTATTAATAATAATATTTGAACTAAGTGGATTAAAATTCAACTCGCGATTGATTTCGATATCCAAATCATGATATTAGCTCCAAAATTCAAATTGAACCCATTTTTGGGAGCAATAACTCGTTTATGTAGTGAAACACTTGGTTTAAATGGGACTAAAAGAGTGCAATAAAACACACCAAATATGCAGTTCCGTCCTTATTACAAATAAGTACTTGTTGCATATTCCAAGCCCCCTAAAAGAGAACTAAATAAACAAAATGCTTATTTTAGAAGTCAGCTTTGGTATGGAATGGTCAAAAATTGAAACTCAAGGAGGATATAATAAAAGATGTTTTATAAATGGGTTTTAAGCAGTTTGAAGACCAGATATTGACTCTGTAAGGACCAAGCCTATCCATAAAAGCTCAGTACTATTTAGCCTCTTATGGGTTTGTGACAAATTGTAGCGCAGATATTTTCCTTTCGTAATCAAGACGTGTTAGAATTCAAATCCTGATCCCATCAATTATAATCCCTTAGGCATATAAATGCTACTACTTAAATGTAAGTAACAGTCTAATGACAAAAGTAGTGATGAAATGACTGCGCATTGGTTATAGTGATAGTTCCTCGATTTCGGTAGTATAAATTAAGACCAGTGCGGGCAAAGTAATGAAGAGGACAAAAAACATATCATCAATGTTTCAACCATAAAAAAACCAACCTTGCTTTAATTCCAAGGTAGCAATATTGCAAAGCGGAAATTTTCTGAAAACTAATCATACATGAATCTTCAATTTCATCTTAAAATATTTGTGGAGCTACGTTGTGTGGTAAACACAATGTTGTGCCACTAAATATTTTGTTTAAATGCCACTTGCCATAAACCTAATGAGCAGAACATCCATTACTTGTCACCTCATTCCAACTTTCATGAATATTTAATTGCACATTTTGATTACGTTTGTCAAATATCAAGCAAATAGCAGATGTTTTATGAAGATGCCGCAGTGCCTCCGATTGTACTAAAATCGTATTTAAAAAGAGTCTGATTTAAAGTTCACTTTGTGTCTCGACGCTCCTAATCAACTTCATGGTCAATCGTTTGCGTTCATAATTTAACATTCGCCGAAATACTTTCAACAACTTTTAATTTTTTTCTGTGTCTAAAATTGCCATTACACAATGCTGTGAACAGCTATTGAATTCGTTCACAACGTTATGGATGAAATTTTTTGCATTATTATTTCTTTGAATGTATAATTCTGGCAGAGAATTTCTAGGTATTTTAGGTTCTAGTAAAACTAGGTAGGTCCAAACCATGCTCAATATGAATTATATGCATAAAAGTGGATTTCGTTATGTCAAAATCCTTGTAATTATAGCTTTATGTAATCATTTTTATGGTAGAAACCAGTAGAGACTTTAAAAGCCAAAACACCGGCTCTTTTAATAGTTGACTATGTCTCTTCGAAACATTCCAAGAAATCTAGTGTTCGCATTTTCACCATGGATATTTAGTAACTTGAATTTAAATTTTATTAAGACCTTGCCTTAAAATCCTTATTGGTACCCCAGTGATTTAAAGACCGTAAAACCTGGATCCCTTAAAATAACTTGCACCGCTCTCAGAAATGGGATAAATAAACTAAAATATAAGCAAGCTACGAATCGCTCATTTGCTTATAGATAGAAATAAGTAAGGTTTTTTTTTCATATTTAAATCTTGTATTTTGTATTCGTCTTATGGATGCACAAGATACAAACACTCAATGCAGGGCAAGAAACACAACAACTAATAATCCGCTAAGCGACTACACAGCAACAAGACCGCCGCGATACTGCTTGACGGGGAACCAGCGCTTTGAGTAAGATGGGTGGGCTGAGAAGGCATCGGAAATCTCTTCCTCCTCCATCAAATCAAGTAAATCTCTGTAAAGGAGTTGTAACCCTAATCCATTTCCAAAAGTTGCCATCAATTATTTTGTTGATAGTGATAATATTTCACATTAAGACAAGGTAATACGAAGTACAGTTTGAAATTGGTGCTGGAGTAGTTTGATTTAGTGGTGTGTCTTAAAAGTAACCCATGAGAAACTTACCTCAACTTTTCCATTTTTATGAGCTTCGACTCAATTTGTGAAGGCTTTAGAGCGGCTGTTGTGAAGCACACGAGAAATACAGTAACCAACGCAATTGCTGAAATGAAAAGGTGTTAATGCGTAGGGATATAATCTTATAAGCAAGCCCAAAAAGTTACCGTAGAAGTTGCGTTGAAGTAAGGGGCACATTATGATTTCACAAAACTCCTTGTAGCTAAAGTTCGCCTCATCAAAATATATATATGTATATATATAGAAATTTTAGCCAATCGTGTGTACCAACACACTTCTTCGAGGTGGCATTCTATTGGTCGGTGAAGTAGGTACTAGTAATTCATAAAAAAAGATAAATTGATTGGACGATAAACTGTTATAGCAAATTTTATGAAAAAAATGGAGCAATGTCTGCACTATAACAGGTTTTCGTAATACCTTTGTTCGCACTATTTATTCGGTCAATTGGTTGGAGGTTGTGTGGCGGTGCTTTAGGAACATAGACGGGAACACGAAGATCATAATTGAACACAATTAAAATTGTGTACTGCTTTTTTACCTTTTGGGGGACTCTGACTAACAGCTATTTTCATTGCTGCGCTTGCATCATTTTGCCTCAGTTATAACATATACAGAAAAATGTGAACCTTCGAGTAAGTCTTAGACTAATGCCATTAAAGGTCCACTATTACCTGCGAATGCGGCAGTAATTTAAGTGCTAAATTATTTTTTCCCTAAAGGTAAATATTTTTTGGTGATCGAATGTGAGGTCGCAAACTGAGATGCTGCAAAATAAATAACATGTGTTTGAGAAATGAAGCTTTATTAGAGGATTATGCTCGGTACAATTCTTTTTAAACCAAAAACTTTTTTAGACTACCCTGTGTTCTGAGAATAAAGTAGGTGGGTGAACTCGGACTTCCAGCTCAAGAATTGGGAAAAGAAAATAATCTGTTTTACAGAGAAACTAGCCTTGAGCATTGCAGGCATACTTGATAGGTGTTCTTCATTTGGGGTACCAAATTAATTAAATACACATATTTTCTTTCATCCAATCCATTAAACTGTTATTTATGCATCTAGCCTCTGATCGTCATTAATATTTATGCATTCGATCACTGCTACTCAATTCGAAGATTAGAAGTAGATCATGTCTTGGACGAGTGTTGCAACAGATTGTGGTTTGTCAGCTAAATATTAAGGGTTTCTACCACAACTTGCTAAATCACCTCTTATTCTTCTACGTTTGAGCGTTCAGAGTGATTTCAATGCTAAAAGTTACTTCTACCCTTACACTTGGTCAAATTCTAGGCACAAGTAAGAGTTATTATTTTTAGCTTTCCCTAGTAAAACCGAACCCTAGAAATATGTAGTTAACTAAGCAGAGGTAATCGGGATTCCTCTTTTTAGATTGGTTAAATGTTTTACCTGATGCCTATATGATGCATAGATTGGGAAAGGATGGATAATCCCATTTAACTACTGAGACACAGATTTGTCGGTTTTCCTTCAGAGCTACAATCTAATCCCTGCCTTCTCACCTTTTCAGTTTTAGCATGCAAAATGCAACTGTAAAAGTTTATAATTAGAGCAGTTAACTAGCTAACGTAATGCTGATATGCACGGAATACACAAAAGAGGCTAGCCCACTTTTTGCAAGCAAGACTTCGGACTGTAAATAAATTTTGATTTGATCTTATATGTACTCACATCTTCAAAAAATCGAGCACCAGTATGGATACTCGATCAGTAACAAAATGTACTCACTGTTGACAATGCAACTATTATTCTGCACTTACAACTTGCTAATCAAAAATAACAATCTGGAATTCACTAGTCCCTATACGTTCCCACGCATTTTTGATATATTCAAGTAAAATGGGTCTTTTTAAATTTTGTTCTTAATATTATTTGAATGATAGGTACTATGCTCAAATATGAGGTTTTGTAGAACTTCTCTGGTTATCACGCAAAATTTTCTTGCGGATGTTGTGGAATAAGTTGCCTTGTGGGTCCATTTAATTGGTATCTCACTTAAAGAGTTGCTTATGAAATTACAAGAAAGCCACGCATCTAGGCGCAAAACTTTGCTTCCTTTATAAATGGAGATAGTAACGCTAAATTACCATTAAAATTGTATGTATTTACGATATATTCAGTCAAAGAAGGTAACAAGGCATGAGCAGCTCCATGGCTTCTCAGAGTATCTATCCATTTAATAGACTTTGAAATGCGCCCACGGAGTTGTAACAATTTATGCGAAGTACTAAAGCTACATTATTACCTTGAATGAAATCTTTTCACCATTCCCCTTCTAATACTTAATTTTATTGGTTAAATTTATATTATCATTACCGCAAAACTAAGTCTGCTTTCTATTCTGTTTCATAACGATGTTGATTGATTTTAGCAACAAATTATTTAACCATAACTCCCAGGCGATCAGGAAACGTGACCTCAATTAAAATCGACCTCTACAACTGCGTAGTTTTACGCGTTAAAATGATCTCCTCCTGTGACCCGATGAGAGAAAACTTAGTTTATATGAGCAGACACGAGAAGGAAATTTTCTGCGCTATCCAAGAAAGACTAAACTTTTAAATATAGGTCGGTGGGGTTTATAGAGGAAAACTATAGTTGTTAAGAATTTCTGTTGGTGAAACTGAGAAACAAATGAAACTGAGGTCTCTTCGATAGATTAAAATTTGTCATTTCGAAGAGCAAAAATCGCAATGTTCAAGTGTTAAGAATGTTATAGACTTCCTTACTACTTATGCTACACTCACAGCCAATTTTTTGTTACAAACTTTACAAAAATTGATAAGGTTTGTCGGCTCATAGTTTTGCGAACTATTCAAAGGTGGTCACAATTAAATGGCTGATGATGCGCGGTTACTACATTAAAATGTTATGATCAATTCGAATAAAACGAAATGGAGCATGACCCAGATGAAACTGAGCAGGTAAGAGGAGGCGGTGCGAGACAAAGTAGACAAGGGTACTGGAAAAAAACGTAGTGCGCCACACTTCCTCCCCCCTCTGGTGGCAAAGCAAAACATCGCTGACATTTGCAAACGAAAGCGACAGTTTACTTCTGCATACATGTTAATTTTGTGGAAATGTTGAGTTAATTGGTTTTTAGTCAGCACTTCAGTTTAATTATAGTAGCTTTAAGAAGTAATCCCACAATTATAATGCGTTGAAATCCTTCAATTCTTTATTCAACTTCACCATACCGACAGATTCAAACCACTACAAAATCTAAATATGTTAAGTACGTATGGGTTTGATTTCAAATAGACTTCGTAGGTTAACTTTCCAAAATGCAAAAAAAACGTAAGCCTTAAAAGGAGCCAAGATTAACTCATTATGAAAACGCCATGGGAAAAATATTCAGGAAGAATGATAATTCCTCGGATGCCTTGACATTTTTGTAGAAAGTTGCGGTGGCAAATTCTCTTTGTTTTTAACCTCGCGCTGTTGTTAATTGAAAAATATTACAAACAATCCTATTACCCTCAAGGAGAAGCCGGGTGAAACGTGCAAGTTGCGTTCTCTTTTTCGTTTGATTCCAATTGTTCAAAATGTTTTGCAAGGGATGGTGATCGAACGACTCGGATTGTTGCTTGGACATGATGGGGCACTTCACGAATCCGGATGCATCAGTAGTCAAAATGGCTAAATTACATGGACCAATTGGACATAACTTTTGCGCGTGACGCTCACCTCGGGATGCAATGAGTTTTATGTTCCTAGGTTATATTGAAAACGCTTGAATATTCGTTTGCAAGTAATGTGACACATTTCAGACTATCCAGCTTTTTTAAATCAACAACAACAGACGTTATCATAGACACATCTTGCTTAGAGTTCAAGTAGGTTTCGTTTTAAAACCATTACTTAATCCTATTTCCAATTTTTAAATAATGAAAGAATCAAACTACTACAAGTTATCAGGCGTAAAATCAGTGAGATGGGGGCTGCCAATTATTGCAGTGTTAGTGAACATTACTATAATACCGGTATTAAAATAATGTACGTTGGGGTTTCGGCAAAATGGGTTTAACTTCTACGATCATTTTTAGTTTTTGGATCTGACTCATTGGAGAAAGCCCTCTGACTCCGTAAAAAGAATTTGCATTTTAAGCATCGTCAAGGATTAGCTATCAAATAAAAAGGAAATGAATAATTTAGCCATTGCATGGCGGTCATTACCGTGCGTCTGCCATCTGCCAAGGTATCCGAAATTTCAGAGGCGGTCAAAATATTTAACTTTATAATGTGTGTGGCCCGTGTAAAATTTCACTTATCCGAATAGGTAGGAAATATACACAAAATGCAGAAGGCTTTTTAAATGGATTTAAACCCAAATGAAAAAAGATTTGCACCTTAAATTATTTATTTTTTCCTTCTTAGTGTGTACCTGCGAAAAAATTCACGGCTTGACTTGTCTTTTGATTCCGAATGATGACTAGGATATGCCCTCTCTCAACTTTGAAGGGTGTTGAAGAAAGCCCATTTTGCATCTACTATCATTCATCTTAACCAGGCCATTAAGCTAGTTGATGAATAAATATGAGTCTGGAACAGTCATATATGGTTAGCATGGGTCAGAATTATTGTAGGCTTAACCATTACCTTCGCTCCAAAACGGTTGAATGCTTTTAAACATAATTCAAGCACCAATTTAAAAGCTTATGTTTCTACTTTGTCAAATCTATGAAAAGCTCATAGAGTGGGTCTTGCCGTTTGAACGAAAGCTAGTTTTTTCATGCGTTGAGGGGAACAGAAGTCTTCTTCTCCGTAATATGAGGATTGCGGCTAAATGCGATATTTAATGCGAGCATCAGCAGATCAGGCTAAATTACGTCTTTTGCTGTGTTTTTGAGTGATGATAACTTGTTTTATTACCTCTAACACTGCTACTTTGAATTGTCATTTGAGCAAAGGTATCTTCGAATTTTGCATTTGCTAAATATGGGTTTCTTAGTGCAAATATGTCCTTTGTCAAACAAACGTAGACAGGGAACCCGGAATACGCGGAACAGGGGTATTTAGCAAAAAGGATTTAGTTTGCGTATTTACTGGGAATTTGTAACAAATATGTTTTCCGTAAATGAAACCACAAAACCACTCGGATCAACTTATTCACCATATGATTCCGAATTTTCAAGTTCACCGAAGAAATTATTTATTGACAAAATTTAGCATTTGGTCCCCGAGATCCTAGGAAACAAGGCTGCTTCGTCAGTATGTTACGATTGCATTACCGTCGCCTTTAAAAAACTATTGGAAACAGTTACAACGTATATTCTTTTTGGAGTTAAACAAGGTTACTGTGCCCATCGACTACCCAGGCTTGACCACACACTGTGCGACAGATGTTGACACACCCAAAACTCACATGCATCTCACCAATGCTGTTCTCCCAATGGAGCAGACCGCTCCCCTCAAGTATGTGCTACGTGGGTAAACAACTAGTGAATGTTGATCCCTGATTATCATTAATTTTTTGCCCGATTTAATTCCTGCAACTTTTGGGGTGACGATGGACTTACTTTCAGTAGCCAAAAACGTTTTATACTATTGGTGAAAATGTCTCTGTAATTACCACGAAACTCTTCTGATAAACATCATAAGCCGTGAGACACATAAACTGTGATTAAATTGGCCAGAACCGCTATACACATGCTCATTTAATTTCAAATTAAGCGCTTAACATATTTTATCGTATCGATGGTGGCGAATGAACATCTTAACATGAAAGGAAATAACATCAGTATCTTTTCCTACGTAAATTAAAGTAAATTCACCCATTATAGAACAGCTTTTCTCGTACTTGGTGCATGAAGTTTAAAAGCATAACCCCATTACCCACTTAGACCATTTCCTGATCTATAAATATGTAATGTCTTGCGGGAGAGCTACCAAATTCCAAGCTCTTCAGTGGTATAAACTGCGTACATTTCCTGATGCAACAACATTTACGAAAAATCAAATGTAAATAACAATGACTTTACACGGTAGATGGTCAAACATTGACTATCACCCCACACAAAATGGAACTGATTAATGCAGCCATTTGGAATTCCATATATAAGGCAGAAAATATACAGTAATCTATGCATTAACATATTTAACTAAGAAAGTGGTCCATTCAGAGACACAAAACGCGCTAATGTGTTGTTGTTGCTATGACGATCCTGGGCGAATGGAATTCAAAAACCATCTTCACCTAATTTTTTGAAATAAAACGAGGCCAAATCAGTGGCCACTTTGCTATCAGTGGCTCCTAGGAAAATCGTCCACTGCAAGCCAAGTGTTTTGCTGTTCTTACATAAGAACAATTAGCTTCCCTAATAAAATGTGTTTTTAGGGACCTAACACTAAAAATATTCACTGATCCGCCGATTAAAAATATCTTACACCCCTTTTTATGTTTGGGCTCAACCACCCCGTTCATGATAATAATATGATATAACCACAGTTGCCATAATCCCATGAAAATTGCCGTGTATTCGTGGCTCCAGACTCACGTAAGAAAGCTCAAGCGTCAATTATATGTGATGCTGACAAAACCTACTGGAAAATTTTAAACATATGAAGGTGTTTTCCATCAGCGAAAAAAATTTAATGAATAATTCAAAAGTAATATTAAACTTAGAATTTTGATAACCGTCTACGCATGTATCTTCCATTTTAATTAACCTATTCCTTTATAGCCAGTTCAGTATTGAAACGGAATGATTTCGATATTAATATATTCAAGTACAACATAAGACATCTAGTTCTTCCGTTCAGATGGGTTGGGTTGTTGGTAAGGTCCCAATGGAAATAGCGTGCTTAGGTTCGGACCAAAAATGGGGGCTTTTATGCACAAATAGCCTTTATTTTAAGTAAGGGGTCCACCTCACCTTCTGAAGGTAATTAATTTAATTTTATTCGTCAATTGCATGCAAATGAAACTAGCCCTCACAATACATTCCACCCAATGCGCACCCCACATTGGGAACTGATGCAAAACAATGCAAGGTAAAACGCTTTAAATTCAATTGTACTAGTCGAATATGAAAAAATATATTTAGATTACTATATATTACACCGACTTTACGCATCCATGGGCCAAATTTAATAAATTTGCGGCATTTGATGGCGCTTAGTGATAATAAGTGTTTTATTTCCATGGTTGATTTTTGATTGTTCCTTTTGTGATTTCGTGGCACTGGATGAAACAAATTTACTTAGTGAGTGTTCAAGCTCTGTAATTAAAAAGCATTTGGCTTTTATGTGTTTATCCTAGCTGTTATTGGCCTTCCTTAGCATGTTTTCAGTGCACGTTAGTCTATTTCTAGAATATGTTGTTAGGTTTCTTAAATAGACGATTTGTTAGTCTTCCAGAATTTCCTGGTAAAAAATTAGTGCAGAATTATGGTTCCATACTATTTTGTGAAAGATCAAACTTCAAAAGTGGGGGTTATTAAAATACACTCCATTACTGTGTGTAGCCACATGCTGGCGCTGCTTAGAGTCCGTTATTTGATTTATGGAACAAACTGAGTCTTAAAAATAGGAAGCAATTTAACAAACAATTATTTTCAACTCGATTGTAGGTGCATAGTGAATTAAGTCCTCTGGGTTACGAGAATTTACTAAAGGTTTCACGCGCGCAAATTCTATCTGTTGACGCGGATTATGGGTTGATTACTTAGTCCTACCATGAAAGCTGCAAAACCTACCGCTGTGCTCTGAATAATAGGATATGCATTCAGAGCATCATAATTTGGATTTGAACTCTTCCATGTCATTTAAAATTCACTGGTATAAAATTTTCGTTACCATGATGCATGAAGCAGATGACCCATTAATGATTCGAATATCCGCTTAATAACTAAAAATGCGGTAAAGCAAAACTTACAACAGATTTTGAAAAAGGATTTTTGGTTGATTTTTGGATAAAAGGTTTTTGGTAGCTAAATCTTAATGTGAAAGTTATGCTCAGCTTAGATTAAATCGTTTCCTGTCCGTCGTATACAATCAATGTCTACTTACACATTTTAAGTAGTTTTATTGCGATCCATCAGAAGCAGATGCCTCACTCCCCCATGAAATGAAATGCAGGATAGAATTCTTTGCATAGATGCAAATGGGCTAAACAATGGCGTTAAAATACATCCGGTACTCATTTTATCAGATCGTCACAAAGAAGAAGATGCTTTGCAAAGCAGGTAAATCAATTCGATACTAGGGGGTATGAAATTTTCATTTTAATAAGTATAAGTGATGGAAACAATAAAAAACCGAATGTGATTTACTACCTCCAATTCAAATTTATTGTAGTGTCATTACATTATTTTCTTCTGCTATGAACATTTACGACTAAAGAAAATCATTTTTGTTTTGACTTTTTTAGAATCTATTTTGGAAGTTTGATTCCTCAGACATTCTGAAATATTCCATAATCCGAATAAAACCCACAAAAGCACCAGTGCATGTCCCTAAACATGAAATCGTGTTAGCCAAAAACGTTACTTGTGCACCCCAACTGCCAACCAACAAGTTTTCTGTTAGGCAGCTGCGTTCCATATTGGAGAACTCCCTGATATCTAGAATACCCTTTACTAGTTTAAGATCTACAAAACCTACACCTGTTTGGTAAGTTAATTTGAATAATCTTTAGTTCAGCTGTTATAATCACTACTCACGCAAATATTTGTGGATCCTTATAAGAAAATTAGAATTGGTCTAGACACTTTGACGGTTGTCCCCAACTTACTTTGTCATTTCTAGGTTATTATTATTTCTTCAAATGACCTGTAATATCAGGGCAAAAGTAATGAGGCATCAACGTACCCCTTTTGTAGTACTTTCTGCTAACCGAAGGTTTTATATTTCATCAACACTTTTTCATCTCTGGCTAGTGGTTCCATTTTATTTGTGTTGAATTTGCTTAATTTCACCGTAATCGAAAGATGGAATGAATGTCAGAGGTTTTGAGAATTCGAATCAGTGAACTGGTGAAGCATCAAATCTTGCGCAATGGGCACTTAATTCAAATTAGCGTTAATTTTAAGAAATGTTTTCATAAAGTGTTGGTACAAACTGAAAAAATGCCAAACCAGTAACAAAAAATATATGAAAGACACTTTTAAGTTTGCCAAAGTTGGCCACTAGAAAAATAAATTAAGTGAAATGGAGGTAAAATTTGGCTTTGGAGCAAATAGTGTACGACTGTCTAGCAACTAGTTTGTGATTTGAGTAAATTCAAGTAAACAATGCTAGATGGATGTTTAAATTAATGGCACATATCATTAATTATTACCCACTTGTCCAGCTAAATAATTTCGTTTTATAATAGTGCAATCAACTATTTGTGGAGGAAAAAGCTGCCTTAAAAACAGAATATGCATGTCGATATAGGATGGGAACGTTAAAACCAATGGATATCCACTAATTTTCCCATAACTCATATACGGACTTCGTTATGCATCACTTCCATGACTTAAGCGTAATCGACTAGAGTCGGTAATCTTTGAAATAGAATTATTAAATGGTATATTTTGCAATCCTCAATTTTATTCCGGTCCCGCACATTTTTCCTCGAAAATGCAGATGAATGTATTTATTGAATTAAAATTCCATCTTCAGGCGTTTTACTGCAGCGGTATTATACGAAGCGCCTATTTGACATTTTACATGAGTTTTCATCCCTCAGATAACACACTTGTGCATTTTTATCGATGGCACAGTTGCAGCCGTGGTTACTTTTGGCGTCTGACGGAACGATCAAAGGTTACCCGTGACCCACTGGGACCAGGCGTCTATCGACCCGAGGAGGCACTGCCTCGCAATGTGAAGCGCCCTTCGGTAGGCTTCGAGGTGCGCGCTGCAGACCTGCGTGCGTGCTTGCATGCGTGCGTATGCGCGTCCTGGCGTGCCAAACGCGTTCTTCCGTTGCCTGTGCTGCATTCCGTTCGAACGCCCCAATCTGATCGATACTCGCGGGTGCGTACGTGGTCACGACTGTGTCACGCGCGCAGCTGGCACAGGGGTTTACCGGGTTTCCATAAAACTCTTACGTCTTCCCTTCATTATGTAGTACGCGGGTGATTAGTTTGGGTGTCTTCCTGTTTCACCTAAATGACATCTATCACATACAAAGTTCGCGGACAGTTCTTTGCAAAAAGTTAATTTAACGATGCCATAATATGCGTCTTTCAACGCTTTTGGGTTTCAGGCACTGCTTAGGTGGTCAGCTAGCCTTAACAAGTAGCCACGAATGCTAAGATAACTTATTTAAGTGTTGTAGATTGCCACATTCTATCAAGTCATGTTTATATTCCCAAAAACGTAATGCTAAAAGTTGTTAACTCGAATTATAGACTCATAGTTGGATCTGAGACCAAACGTATGCGACAATGTTCGAGGGTTGACTAGCATCATGTCATCACGCCAGATATAGTAATTCCGTTTTTGATTGTGTAACGATTGCAAACAATGTGGCAAAAAATATTTCTTTTTTCCTCGTATTTAACTGTCATTCATAATCACATCCATTCATAAGTTGGAAGATGACGGATAATTTTCCACTTCAATAACCCAGCCGGCTAAGAATTAAATAAATAACTGGGCACTATTATAAGGGCTTTCAGTAATAATCAGCAACACGAGACCGGAGGTGATTCTCCCTTTCGGCAGCGCAAATTTTACATTGTTGACTTCACCATAGTTATTATTCAGAATATTTTATGATGCTATTTGAAATTGGCGCAATTCAGGGGGCAAAGATTTAAAGCGTATCGCGTCGTCTAAGTGTATTAACGGTACCTCGTTAGCCCTAGGCTCATACATTTACTTGTAACTCTTAACAAAATTGCTAACGACCAACATTACAAGGAGCTGCTTTAATTAGCAATAGGTGTAACTCGAGAATCAAAAGACCTTAAGTAGTGAATTTCTAGGACATTATTCATGATGCCTTTGTTCCTATGAGAAATATTTCAAGCAGTAATGTGATAAAAGAAGGTTTTGATGAAATCTTCGAGGTATTTTTTTCATTTCAGGGTTATGCATTTGTCTGATAAAAACGTAGGAGATTTTTGGTATGTTAAGTTCACTACTCAGAGGTTCAATCCATCTAATACTCTGGTTTTAGAGATACTGGTAAACTTATTTAAAAAATCCTTCTAGTAGTACGAGAAAAGCGTATTAGCATTTTTTATCCTTTAAGTCGACGCATATTACTGTAAGATCACTCTTTGTTAGGCAGTAGTGGACTGCGCATTTCAGTGAAACATGTCATTCCATATTATAGAGTTTAAAATCAAAAAATAGACACCTCGATGGAAAACTAATTCACCCCATATCGGAAAGGAAGATCTATAGGTTGCATATGAAACGCTGATCGCTTATACCATTTTGTTCAGGTTTCTGAATAAACCTTATGAAAAAAAACCTAGAATAACGCAAAGTATAAAACATCATAAATAATAGCTGAGCAAGTGCAAAAGGGTTGCAAGTGACCTATGGATAAGTACGAAGTTAAGTTTTTTCGAAATCCCTTTCTATAGATGCCATCTCATGACATAGTCATGTGACAAGATTTAAAAAAACAGTTGCATTGCAATAAAAGTGGAGACAGCATTCCTTCTTTCTAAAGATATGAGTTACGATATGTTATATCACAGATAAGAAAAATCCCTAACTATTTTACTGTCATTTGACGGATGGCGCAGTGTGCGAGCCCTTAATGCATTGTTGAGCTAAGTTTTTAGTATTTAGTACAAGGAATTAATATTTTCTTAATCCCATCACTGAATAAAACAACTCCACCCAGACCTTATCGCACTGTTTGAGTTTCAAGAAGAAATGAAGACAATCACCAGGCAAACACACAAGTTGAATAAGGTAAGGTGAAAAAATAGTTTTAGCCAGTGCCTGAGCCGAAAGCAGTTATTACTTAAAAGTGCCAGCGGATATGAATTTACTCTATAGAAGAGACGATGCGTACAAATACTGTAGCTCTTGAAATTATGCTGCCTCATCGCGCAGTATCCCTGTTTCCAGAAGTTGAATTTAATTTCAATATACCTTTGATTTTCATCAGCGTTCGTCTGATTTCATAACGCTTAAATGAATTTTTAGAAACTTCCTGTTTATTAACCAATATCTCCATTATTGTCGTAATTTTCAGTATTTCAACAAATGTTTGCCTAACACCTGACTGGTTTTTGACTTTCCGTTGATGTTTAAGTCATACTGCAGTTTGTTGTAAATGCGGAAAACGATGTGCCTTGATAGACAATAATCTTCCGAATAGTTGTGGAAATAGCAATCTCTATCTTTTCTTCTCTTCCTAATCATTCCAATGCTTTGGCTGGATACGCTGGCTCAAAACTTACTTTATCGCTTGCCAAAAGAGTCAAAGTTGGAATTTTGACCGGGATGTAACTCTCAGGAAAACTTAATTGGAAACTTAATTTGCGCCAACTGTATTGGCAAAAGAGAACAACCAAATAACAAGTGTGGACGACCGATTTTTTAAACATTCATACAAATTTGAATTTAACTAACCTTTGAAAAGTCTCTGTTTTGAATCACTTTCATCCTATTTATAACTACTGCTCCAAAATCGCTCTATATTATCCTATTTTTGAAAGCAAAAACAGATATGATTTTCACTTTGGATCTTAAAAGAAGGGTGATTGGAAAAACCCATTACTTTTCTCAGGAGAGAGATATCAAGTGAATCGTTGAGACTTTTGAGCCTTCCAATTGTTCCTCCGGCAATCGCGTACAATACATGGCCTCCAAGGGTCACTTTATCTTGTATTTCTTCTTTGTAAGTGTCAAATGCTCTTAGTCCCATAAATGAGAATAAATGGAAGCAAAACTGTTTTTCATATATTTTTTGTTACTCGAAATTCGTGTCAGGGGAATCTTTCGATGACTCAGTTTGCTTGAAGTAAGTGTTAAAACGGCTGAAAAGAATAAGGGACCCCTACCGGAGCATATGGATGGCATGAATGAGATGTGAAGGCGTTGTAATTGAGTTTGAAGCAAGTCCACGCGAAAGAAAAAAACAAAGGAAAATGAATGCCTGTGTCGGTTTGTAATTTCTGTTATAAATTATACATTTGGATATGGTGCACAGCTGCGTAGTCTAACAGGAGATATCCTCTCTTCTACTTGGGCTGACCTTCAAGGACCCCTTTGATGAATTCTGAAATCCAAGAAATTTTAACGCAGATGAAATGTATGGCACAACAACTGTTAGAACAAAGACAAATAGACTGACCTACTTAAATAGTGCATTTAATATTCAGTCATACGCAAGAGGGTCAATTACGATAAATGCATAAATAAGTGACAATAGTATTTGAATTAGAGAGGGGAGTTAAAAAACTTAAAATCCAATTAATTAATAAGAGATAGATTTTATTTAAAACGTTTGTCTTGATAAATGGTAGCTATAATTTATTCAATGGCGATTGTAGAACCATAAAAGTCATCGGATTCCTTATTAGAGTACTGTACTGATTTCATCAGAGCACCTTACCTTCGTATTTGACGTTGCCATCCAGATCAACGTGGAGTTTGGTGAGTTTGATAATCTCATCAATCTCTTCGTCGGAGAGTCGCTCTCCTAACAGAGGCAATGTGTCAATAAATATTTCAACGTGTCACCGTCTATCACCTTAGTGCTGATCAGCAGTAACTCACCATAACCCGAGAGAACATGTCCCAGCTCAGCGGCGCTCACAACTCCCTGGCCTTCACGATCAAAGGTTTTGAAGGCCTCCATATAGTCTGCGAAAGTGCCACCCTCTTTCTCCTTAATGATAGCCTGGTATACGGGTAAGAACTCGTCAAATTTGTACTGCTTTTCACCTAAAGGAGCATAAAACCAATGCCAGTATCCGTGCTTCTGCTTTTGCCTTTGAAATAATGCCATTGTCAAAGACAAGACGCACCAGCTTTCTTGGTGGCACCATGCTTTAGTGAAACCTTGATGGTGGGATTCATTCCAGCACAGCGGAGAAGATCGGGCACCTTGACGGCATCGATCATTCCATCACGACCGTCCCAGAAGTCGAAAAGATCAAAGACCTCCTTGATATCTATATGCAATTATTCATTTTATTCAGTGTGATGGTTCAACGATTTCAATTATAAGACTATACCGAATTCTCACCTTCAATCTCAGCCTTGGACAGATCAGCCTAAAGCAAAGATAGTTTTATCGAATTCCAAGCAAACCATTGTATCACCCAGTTAGGTACACAATCTAATTGCAATAAGCACGCTGGACGTTCTTTTAAGAAATGCAGATTAAGATTCATGTAAATTCTCTATGTACTACACTGCACGGTCGCCGAGGAGCCAATAAGAGCGTAGATTGACTTTCCCAAATTCATCTCGGCCAATGGCCGGAGTGATGTGCCATGTGATCGATAGGACTGTTGCTTGCGTGCAAATTTACGCAAAGCTGCGATTAGCTCAATCACATCTCCTAGCACTTAATTGGTTGGCTAAGCAAGACGCTTTTCGAAGTTATCGTTTAAATTTGCACCCGCAAACACCGATTTCCTTTTTTCTCTTAATCACAACACTTTCGATGATAATATTTTATCCAAAAGTTTGCTTGAACATGTACGCATCATCAATAGAATTTACATGGCGATAATCGGGTCGAAGCCCTTTCAAATAGTGGATGGTGAAATCCTAAAGAAATAAAGGAACCAATTTGACACTGTAGCTGTTTAAATAAAAGTCTATACAAATGAATTTATGCCGCAAATTTGCTTGGGAACATAAATTGGGAAGTGAATAAGGTGGATGTCAAAGCGTTTCATAAAATTCACTAATCTGGAAATGGCACAATGTTGTACGATTATCAGATCATGAACAGATACTTTAAGACAAAGAAGAATATGGCTAAGTTATCAAAATCATTGATGTTTTGTTTACCATGTAGGTTGGCTGATCACATTTTATCAAATTATGTCTGCGTCTGGTCTTAGAGAAATACACTACCTAGTAAGATATAGGATCGTAATTACGGTCTCAAAGGTACTCCTATTTAACTTTCAGAACTATGCAATGATATGTAATAATGTTAGTATTTAAAACAAGCAAATAAAAACGTCACACTTTATATTAGTATTAATGAACCAATTTTTTGTGAAGATGCAAGTTGCCGAATAAGGTCAATTTTATTTCCAAACCATGTATATGGAACCCAAAATAGTAAAACTAGTAAGCTTTAAGGAATTTTGTGACGAACAGTAAACACAGAATAACGTACCTAACCGTATATGCAGGCACCATTTGCCCTACTGAGCATAATTCCATGCATTTCCCACTACAATCGCTTTGTGCGCAAAAGATTGAAGTACTCAACTTGATTTTGTTCACGCCCTGGTAAATAAGTCAAATAAGACACCACAAGTTTTATCAGCATCACTTTCTTGAAAATAATGTGCCACAATCAATTTTTGAAAGTCACGAAACAGCCTGTATTTATGCTAATCAAAACCAAACCCGTAAAACTAGCGACGACGTGAAATCAATTCAGTGACGACTTATCCTTACTATACATTGTTCAGTAGCACATATCCACCAGCATTCGTTATTGTGAATATTATTTCCTGCTGCCAACTCTGTATATACAATTATTCATTCGACTTGTTGGCCATTCAAAGATATTTACTAAACATCATTCATTGCTTCATTCCAATGTATTTTGCATAATTTGCAACGCATCACAGCGGGCTGTATTGAGTTAGCCGCAAAATCATCCACGACGGTTATACCAGTTTCAGGTAAAGGGTGACTTCCTTGTCTCCAAATGTGCATAGTCCACTAATCCTTCAAATGAGCAAAAAACGACATGTGCATTGCAACATTTTGGGATCTTATATACTCTTGCGCGAAGATTTTTTCCCATATAGGTGCGTCCAATTGTCTGTCATTATTGTTATAGCAATTATAACGTTAACTCGCATTGGGGATACGGGCTCTACGGAGGTTTGAATTTATGATAAATAAGTGACTCGACGGGAAACTCGGCGCAAATATTTTGTTTAGGAAATTTCAAATTATTAAGTTTGGCTTCCAGGTGATAAAATCTAGTAAACATTTCCGTCAGTTCCACTTTGTCATTGTTACTCAATGAATAAATATGAAATTTTTGCACAATGTTAGGGGAATTCCTGTTGTTTTTGATAAAGTGCTCACTACTATGCGACAGATAGAGGCAATGGGGCGCATCAAGACCTCAGTGGTGCAGTGAGTGCATTATAAAATTTCAACTGGTGATAGTTCAGGGTTAAATAGCTAGCACCAAAGCTCATTGTGATAAAATTAATGTCCGTCATAACTGATTTAATCAGTTCACTAAATTGAATTCTAAAGTTAGCCGCAGTTCGTTTGCTGAACCTACGGCACATGGTGAATTTGTTTGTTTAAAAATGCGAAATAATTTAAATTAGGCAAAGTTCAATGGAGGAGCGCAGTTAGGCCGATTGTGCATTTATAAACATTTTAAGAAAGGCTTTGTTACTGTCGGCCTACAAGGGATTATTCCTTTTTTATGCATACTAGAGCTGAATATTTTGTCCCTCTAGTAAGAAATTGGTGATTTTGAGGAGCACGACCAAAAATAACCATTTAGATGGTTTCGGGTTCTGAAGGACTACCTAAATAACCAGCACCTAGCCCTATTTTTTTCTAGAAATTTGCCGGTTTCTCGCTTTTGAATCAGCATTGTACGAATAACAAGGCTCTTTTGATAATTCTTTTAAAAGTCGCCTAGGGAGAAAGGTCTTAATGCTCGCGTGTTTGGCTCCTGAATGGTAATTTTTTAAACCGTCTTCGGCATCCTCTGTGCCTATAATGATGTGTTAATGGATTTTTAAGCACAGCATCAATAAAGCCAAAATTACTATTCAAACATGAATGCCAGCTGACGTCGCTGAAAATTGCCTTTTGGTGTTATTAACAACACCTCGTTCTGTTTTGAAATTCGGCAGCTGTGATAAAGCCTTGGCCTCTTTGAAGTTTTTCAAGTGTTCCTCCCGCTTCCTACCTGAGAATCAACCGATAGTTTAATAAGAACTAATCAAATTTGCACAGCTTTTTACTTTTGAATAAAATGATCAAAAGGTGTAAGTAATTATACCTTTTCAACCACAAGGCTCTGTAAGTAACTGCTCTTAACCATAAGGTGAGAATTGTGGTGATTTTCCTTAAGTAGCATCGAAAGTTCATTGTTATTCAGGTGCATAACCAGCAAAGAATGGGTTAAAGCATACCAAAATAAAGAGGCACGAACCCCTCTACACTAGTGTAACAGAACAAAGTATCTAAGCGTCAATACAGATTTGCCTTTTTGTCCTTCCAGGCGGTATTTCGAATTGATGACAAAAAACATCGCTTGTGGAACCAAGTTGGTGGTCTAAATAAATGAGCCACCAATCTGTGTAAAGTGCTTTGAACTTTCTAGAGCCTTGACAAATAATGCAATTGGCAAAGTGGACAAGTAAAACCTTTAACAGCAGAATTAGGATAGATAACTAGAGATGTATTTTTGCACCTAATTTTGATTTTGTTTCTCAGTAAAATTAATAATTTCGGAACTCCTAAACACTATATTATACTGCACAAAAATGACAATAGAACGCTTTTAATTATGCTTCAGTACCATACATATTTAATCTCATCTACCACTAATGAGGTGCTGTTTCTCGTGCAACTTCATAATTAGTGAAAAAATATGCAGTACTCTTCCATAGTCAAAAAGGTTGGATTACTGCACTGAGCCTGCCAGAATTGCAAAGACCTTTAAACTCAAACAAACATGGATTCAGTGGATTGAAAATATCAAGATTTCAGGGTTAAATATTAAAGAATGTCACAAATTTAATATTTGTTCTTTGTTGCGTTGAAATTATATTTTCCAACACTTTTTCTAAGCTTGCGATTTTGCCTTAGTTACAGAACAAGGATCTGTTTTACGGAAACTACGCAGGTTAATTCATATCAAGATGTTACTTTAAGTACTCAAGACAGGGTTCACCACTACTTCGTTTTAAAAACACCTTTTAAGGACCAAATAATACATATTTCAGGCCGCCACTTCAAAATTAATGTCAGCTCTACACGGAAATCATCCCTGTATCATTCTTAGCTAGAATGATTTCACTTAGCATATTATCAGGAATATAAGTGGTGAAAATAAACATGGCCCGTTTGCTAATGCACACATAAGTAAATGTTGCATGAACCGTTCGAATGCAACCACCTTTGCCAAGGGATAGCTACACAATTTATTTTCGATTATCACCGACCGAGTGCCACCACATCTTCCAAGAAATAAATGAAGTTAGTGTAAGATTATTGTTTTGAGATTCAATAAGATTGTGGGTCATACGTTTTTTTAGCCCACCTCCATGCTTGAGACACACGGCAGTGGTAGGAATAATGTCAGCACATGGTAGAAGTTTTGGCACCACGGCACCAATCATTCCATCGCAACTACCCTAGAAGTCGAATAAACCGAAAACTTCTCTACTGTCTGTACATTTACAGCTAGATAAGGGTAAAAGATGCTTGTTTTCAACTTCATCTCTCAAAAGGTAAGCCTTACAAGAAATAAGTGAATTAGGGAATCGAGAGTTACCGTAGAGTATGTATTTTTACATATTTGCTAGATAGGTCTTTTCATTCGTCCTTGTTTTGATTGATGGGCTAGTGGTATTAAGCTACGCTAGTGTCGCCTACATTATTAACCTCTCGGTTCTTTGGTGACTGCTATGCATTGTGACGCCATCACAGACGCCAAAGACGCCATATCTGTGGGATCAATGGGTAATTCTACTATTGAATAGTAGTATTTCTGATTTCGTTTGCGAAACAGCCAAGCTTCCGAGAAGAAAATGCACGCAGTGAATGGTTGAATATACACAGATGCAGTAAGAGAGCCACCGAAATCGCGTGGAGCTTTCACAATCATTGCAATTCTAATTTCTTGTATGATAGTTTGCAATGCAGCAAGACCATAGTTGGGTCAACAAAAAAGGTTATAAAGGTCATAAAACTACTGAAAATATTGGGCACCATCTACCTATACAATTCCATTATACGATGGCGATTTATCCCTCGGTACTAGTGAGGCGCCATGTTTGGACTTTGAATTAGCCTTCTTGTACTTCGCTGGGTGGGCTGGCCTTCGGACCATGCCAGCACCCCAGACACCTTCTCTGCGCTGAATATATATTCTGCCAGAGTATTCTGTCTTCTTTCGTCTTCAAAGAAGTCTCGGAAAGCTACATTTGGGAGACGCCGACCCTTCACTGAGCTATGTAGGATGTGCCAGATCTCAAAGACTCACATGACACCTGCACATCCACAAGGCAACGGCCAGGTGAAAAGAACGAATTACACCCTGACCGGACTACTGAGGGCCTTCACTAAAGACGTACAACCAGATGACTAAGATTTAAGTCTAGGGCGTGTTCTTCTCGCATACAGAGCCACGGTCCACACGTCAACGGGTGTTTCTCCGTTCAAGATGCTCACAGGTCATGAAATGAGAGTGCCTTCTGACACCTTCCTGCAAAACACCAACGAATCCGCCAAAAATCTTTCAGAGTATATACTGCGTCTGAAGGAAGGCATAAAGAAGACTTTTAACATAACACGCAAACATTTACTGCCGTCTTATATCAGGCAGAAGAAATATTATGACCGACATAGCAGGACGAACGTCTACCGGGAAGGCGGCTTAGTAGAAAGTTACAGACCGGTTCTCCCACCTGGAAGACACTGCAAATTCCATCACCAATGGAGCAGGGACCCATTTCGGGTGGTGAAGGCACTCTCGCCTACAAACTACCCCGTCCGCAACGCAGAACTGCGTACCCAGCCGGTAACCGTTCATCACGATAAGATGGGACCCTACAAAGGGCCACCACCGGTTGAAAATGAAGATGAGATGTATGTCCTGACCGAAGACAGGAGGCCACCGTTTGGGAATTTCAAGAGGAGGTCATAAGTGGTAGCACCGGAGACGGTGCTAAAAGGAAGAGGGGGCTATGTAATAACTATATGGTTTCTATGTACCTATCGGAGAGGAGGCAAGTTTACAATGCGAATCTGGATAACAGATTTGGCGTCTCCCAAATATAGCGTCCCGCGACTTCCCTGAAGACGAAAGAAGGCAGAATACTCTGGCAGAATATATACATATATTCGGCACAGAGAAGGGGTTTGGGCTGCTGGCATGGCCCAAAGGCCAGCCCACCCAGCGCGGTACAAGAAGGCAAATTCAAAAGTTCAAAGGTGACGCCTCACTAGTACCGAGGGACAAACACCATCGTATTACAATTCTTCTTCACATGGCGTAAAGTAAAGAACGGCTTATGTAGATGGCAAAAACTTATTAAAGTGGCAGTGAAATAAAACTTGTGAATAAATAGTGAAAGAAGTCGACTAATATGCTTTACACTTTGTATTTTTACACAAATACTTATTTGAATAGTGGTAGTCATGCGTATATCATCAAGCAAAGCAGAAAAAAACTGTACTTTTCTTCAAATTTCTCCACGAGGACCAAAATGTGAACCACAAGACCGTTATGCCTACATTAGAGCTGATTTCATTTCAGTTGACTATTTGTTTGCTAACAAAAAAATAAAGAATTGATCAAGTGAGGCCCTAAGGATGTGCCTCAAAGGAGAAAGGGCAGTTTGGCAGCTGAAAGGTTTAGCTCTTTGTATACTATTACTATGATAATTCAGTCTATTTTGATTTGCCTCTTGCATTAAAAGGGTCAAATTTTTTACCACTCAGATTGTGGATTTACCTTAGTTATCTTATAAAGACAATGCTCGTTCAATTACAGATTTAAATGCGTATACTTTTAAGCCTCTGGATCATCGTGGTGGAGTTGTGTTTATGTTGTACTATCTTAATTCAATTCCAGCCCTTTTTTTAACCTATGGTTTAGGTAGAATTCGACTACATCGTCCTAACAAACAAAAATAATTCGTTAAATATTTGGTCCCAGTATTCATTTTTAATTAAGATTACATGCTAAAGCATTACTGCCTTTTTAATAAAATTTTTTTATCAAAACACAAGTATAAGGGACGAAATATGCTGCACTTGTGACCTTATTGTTTGTTTTTAATCTATCAAGTCAATTTTTTTCGCGTCACCCGCCTTCAGAGACTGACAGATGGCCAGTTTAATCCCCGATCCTTTCAAATTTGCTGCTTCTAGTGGGACAGTCACAGTGCCCACAACAAATAAGGACAACGAAATTCTTTTTAGAGAGGTATTTTAGGCATCTGACATAAAAACAACTCAGTTGTGCATCACTGGTGTCGTAAGAATTAACGGTCCATTTATCTGGGTAATCGCAGCTAAGATACCAAGTCCATCTTGATTCACTGAAACTTGTAAACCCGACTTTGCATAGCATTTCATTAACATATTTTGTTTTGCAAAAAGTTTCTGGTAGAATAGTTTATTAATCGATATCAGCATTGAAACTGGCCCACTCAGGCAAATTCATACACTTTACCCACCACCACTTTAAGTGCACGTTGCTAAAAGTCTTTTTATAAGAAAAATTTGCCTTGTGTGTACGATTCACGTGGTTTTTATCCGATTTTTCGTTTTTAGTACAAAAACGAATTACAAAAATTAAAAGAAGTAGACGAAGAATGCATTTCCGTCAAGAAGCGCGTTCATTTCATGAAAGAACACCAGAATGAGGTTAATCAAGCAAGTGTTGCAATAACTGCAATGCTTAAAGCGTCATGTGAAAATTGCACAGCTGAAAACCACTTGATAGAAGTGGCTGAAAGAGCAATCAAAAGTGTTCAGAAAAATATTTACCAAATGGAAAATCTATTAAAGCACATGAAGGAAAAAGTATTTAAAATTGAGGTTAGCAATGTTTTTTCTTACAATAGCACGAAGCAGAATAAAATATTTGCCAGACGAGTGGAAGTGCGCAATCTTCAAGAATATTTACATATAGAATCCAACAATCTCGATGGTTGGATGAATTATGCTGAGCAAAAATGCGATGACATATATGCCATCAAATGTTTCTACCATAAAGACGATTCTCTGTTAAAGGTAAAAGTAAATCTTAATAAATCATGGGAACAGAATCTGTTTGCGAAGATAAATAAACTTTCTTTGGAAAAAGCAAAGCTAAAAAGAAGACTCGACAAAGCACTTATTGACGGATCTGTGCAAAAGGTAAATTATACGCAATTTCTTTGATGAAAGTCAGAAATATTTTTCTCTTAGCACTTTAAAGTCTTTGGTTTAAGCAACGCACTTTTGGTTATTTGTGTGCACGAAGCACATTTTTCACACCTAGTTTAAATTTTTTCCTTAACTTTTCAGGAAATATATATAATTACACGAATATTGATATAGATACCCATCATGGAGTGATATGGCATTGTAAAGACCAGGAAATTTATGTCGCTGTTAAGTTTTGGAAAACATTATGGGTATACATAGGCGTGCACTACTTTTCGGTACAATTCATCATTTTCCAATCATATGTGTTCTTTTCTTTCTGCTTTCGGTTTTAAACTAATTTAATGCAAATTTAATTGTAATTCAAACTGCATTGTAGTTACAAATGGAGAAACTCGGTCGGGAAGCTCGTAATAATGTAGGAGAAAGAATAGATGTTTTAAAATTGTGGGAAAAGGCTGTGATTCGTACTCAAAATCGAGGCAGAGAAATGGACGCACTTCTACAGGTAATTGTACTTATAGCAATCTTTGTCGTTATTAACATAATCAAATCAGGGTTGATTAGATAGAAACACATTTAAAATCTAAGTTGTACACTATTAAGAACAGTTATCGAATCTACCTGAATAATTGTTCACCATAATTTCGCTTTCATAGTCGGTTGAGGCTCTCAGCCGCCGTATCGATGCAAAGTCACAAGAAAGAAATGAGAGAGAATGCGGCCTTAAAAATGCTGTGAAAGACACATCTGAACAAAACACTAGATTAGAAAAGTTTGTAAAACAGTTGGAATTTCTAAAGCAGAAACATTCAAGTCTTCAGGCTGAAATCAAAGACGCTTGTTCGCAGGTTTGCGTCGTTTGTTGATTCTTCAGTACCGCAGTTAAAAGTGCTCAGAGTAATTACTGAGAGATCTGATATTTCTACGAATTCTCTCCGTTCTAATATAAAAGAAAAAAGAACCATAATTTCATTGTTGACTGAAAAGTAAGTTGTGATGGAAAATATCCTAGTTTCGAATCCACTAACCATTTGTTTATCTCATGACTAATTAACAGATTAACTACAACCTTGGAACAAATAGGAGAACTTAAAGGAAAAGCGGAAGAAATATGTACAAGCAAGGTCTCAATAGATCAACTGGTAATTGAAGCAGAGCACCACTTGCAAGAGGAAGAAAAGAATGCCGTAAAGTTTGGAAAAGAAATCAAGAGTCTATGCAGGAGTCGATTCAACATTTTACAGGTAAAGTTATAGTCAAATTCCGACAGCCGTAAATTGAGGTAAAATATATCCATAGCTGTAGCAGCCGTTACATTGGTTCAACCTTTGTACAGTATTCTGCGATACACTTGTCAGTAGTGTTACACTCCACATCATTCCTCATTTCCTGTTGATTAATGATTTCGCATTATGTCCAAAGGCTCTGTAATTTTCTCCCCCCAAAATAATAGGAGCGAAAAATTGCAAATGAAGAAAGACTGAGAATTGAAAATTTAGTAAGGAACTGCAAAAATGAATTGGAAAAATTGAATAATCAGATACATATAGAAGAAGAGAAAGTAATGCATCAGGAACGTACTATTTACGAGCAGGTGAGTGGAAAGAAACAAAAGTGGTTGGTCTCAAGTTGCGACCGAATAAAGTTTGAACTTATTGTGCGTGCAGATATCTAAAGAAGTAATTTTACGAATGTCAAATTGCTTTCGAAAATATTTACAGTCTGCTGCCCTCAACAACTTACGTTTAATAATTACAAGCAGTTCTTCAGAAGTTAAACCAGTTTTAGAAAGCGTTTATCAAAAAGAGCAAAAAACTACGACTTACAACGTCCCTAAAACGTAATTAAATTAAAAAAGAAAATTCTTCAAAATGCAGACGCATAATTGGGGTGTTGTAGGATTTTAAAATTATTCAAATTGAAAATCGCTTGAGCAAGCTACAAAACGAAACTTTGTCAGACGAAATTAAGGATTACCAAGAAGGCATCCAACGTCTGTCCACTGAATTGGAATGGCTTTCTAAAATGCAGAGAAAACTTTTGACTGAGCTTGAGATCTTACAGGTAAATCCGAATCTGAAACAAATACATGAATTTCACTATTGCATCCGTAAATTGCTCTTTCAAACTCGAGGTCGAATCAAAACAAATGGAACGCGCGTTTGAGGAACTCTTGTCTGAGAAGGGAACTGTGGATTTGCAAAAGGAAAATGATACAATATACGTCGAGCAGGCAGAAAATTCGTTGAAGAGATGCAAAAATGAATATAAAACAATTCTTGTGGACAAAACTATGTTACAATTGAAAATGCGAAGAAGTAATGAGAAATTGCAGTTTTACAATGAAAAGGTTTGAAGCTTTTTAAATTGCTTTACGTTAAAAGGTTTTTGACTTAGAAAAAGACCGTCTGTATATGAAAAATTGCGAAAAGGAAAGAGAGACTGATATTAGCATTGCAATAGGAATGGCGGTTGCAACACTCCGCTTGACGAATGAAGAAAATGCAAAGCTGAAGAAAGAAATCAACTGCAGGCGATTGCAAACTAGCAAACTTATTAATCGGTGAGCACTTTTCTTTCTAAAAGAATGGAACTGCTCGCACTTTCGCATCACTTTCTCTTATTCGAGGTATGAAATTGAGTCGCTTAAAATGGCCCAAACATCTGAAGGCAGGGTGGAAAACCCACCGCTCCATGTGATCAAGGTTGTTGAACTGTTTTTGTGCATAATATTTTATGATGGACTGGTTAGTATGTCGAAATATTCCACCTGCATGTAGACCAAAACGGTCATGGTATAGGGAGAGGGAAGTATCTTTGCCGTTGTTAATACTCCTTTTACAGTTTGCTATTATAAGTAAACTTTCAACTGGGTTTCACTAGTACTATCCAAATGCATAAAAATCGTTATATAGATGTGTGTGGTTGAAAAACAAAATCAGTAGCAGCTGCCGTTGTCTCATGCTTCACATTATTTTGGCGTTGTAATACAGTCTAGTTGTCGCTAGGTAGACGGTGCTACTCCTTTTGGGGTTCGTATTCCAGCAGATTTATTTAAATGTACAACAAAGGCAAACATGTCTATTGTTTTGAGAGTTGCATGTTGAGGGAAACGCAAAGCCTCGACTTTAGTTTCGCTTGATCTCTAAGATATTATGTCATACCTTGTATTGAAGATTATTAGCTCTGTAAGCTGTACATAGGTGCTGCAAGAAATGGATGGGCTAAAAAGTCACGGGGACAAATTGGACGCGGAAATCAAGCAGTCCAAAAAAGAGTTGGAGGCCCTTCAAAATACGTTATCACTTTTGAAAGAAAGCAATCGAATTTGTGAAAGCAATTATCTTGAAGCGGAATCTGATTTGGTTCAAGAAAGAAACATACTTGAACAAAGCCGTAAGGAACTAAAGAGTACTGTTCACAGAAAGAAGGAACGGCTCCTATACACAAGGACAAAGGTTGAGGTAATGCAAACCAATTTCTGAAACGTAGGAATTGAAACTAGCCATGGATGCGGCAGACCAAGAGCTAATAAAGGCGCAATTTTGTGGAAATCAACTTCAAACAAATACGTCCAAATTGGAAAAAGCCATCAACATCTTAGATCAACGAATTTTGAGAGCCACAAGGTGTCTAACGAAATCCAAGTCAGCTGCCCTTCAGCATATCCGAAAAGTGAGGGATTTAAAGGAAACGGAAATACGTGCTGATATAGAGGTTTGTGCTTTCGGTGATTGCCTAATGCATTGTAGCCAAGGTGTCTAAACTTCACTAACTGTACATTTGCAATCACTAGCCAGTTTATAATATGAAGTTATGGTGTTAACATAAGGCTGTTTAACGAATGGCGGGTAAATGTAAGGGTTTGGATCCCATTGTAAATCTACAAGCCGATTGATTCCACGCAAATGCAAGATGACATCTTCTAATCTATTAAATGGGGCCGAAATCAACACATGGAAGGCATTGAAATAGGTAGGGCATAACAAACTATAAATTCACAATATGTGTTCTGCTGAATCCACTTTAGGAAATGTGAGTGATTTGCAGCTTCTATTCACGAAAGTTGCAGTTATTTAGGACTTTTTCATTGACTTTTCCTTGGAATAATGGGTTTAACTGAATAACATAGTTGCAGCTGAAAAGAGACCTTAACGAGAAGCTGGTGGCGCTGACGATGAGTCAGCTGCGGAGCAAAGATCAGAAGGGTGTAGAGGTGCAGGCTCGGGTCTACCTCGCAGCCGCCGACATCATCACGGGTCCACGGTCTTCATGGGCCCCATTGAGGGACACCACCAGGCTGAGTGGTACCTCTTCCACGGGCACTCCATGCTCTAGCGCTGCCGTCACCACCATCCCCTCGCCCACTTCCACAAGGTAATTGACAGGCAGTAGCAAATGCCAGACTACTGCAGACGAGCATTGTAATTTCCCCTTAGTATAAGTGAGGAAACTATCCGTTTACATGGAGCTTGCCTGATTATGCTGTGTGAATACGATCCTAACTCCCATTAAGTAATTGTGGAGAATATCAGGAAGTGAAATCACATCCACTTGTTGAGACTATAGATGCTTACTTCCTGTTATTTATGCAAACTAATTTGTAGGTGCAATAGAACAACAGCAAAGTTCATTTAAAACGCTACCATGTTCCTCAAACCTTCGTACAGGAGGATTGTACTTCCCAAAATGTAATTTATTTCTGTTAGATCATCAATTCCTCAACGACTGAGCCTACTGGAGGGCCGCACTCTACTAGGAGAATCATCAAGCTGCAGAGCTTCTATCAAGAGCGGCAAGTAGTACTCATCAGACAACTTTTAGGAATAGTAGATTAAATTAAACAACGGAGTAGAAATTATTCCACCCATTGTGATATGTAAGTGTCTCAACTCGTTTCCGTAAGGTGCTAAACTGCTGGAGTTTTTTCGTAACTATAATGTATCAATCCCGCTTCCTGAAATAACAAAATCTTACGTGCAGCTAACTAGTCGCATAAATTTTCCGTTTTACAAAAAATACGAACAAGTCTAACTGATAGTTGAAGTATGCTTTTTAATGGATAAGTTGAATCTTCAAATCATGGTAGGGTAAAGTACTAATCATCACGATTATAACTGCACCCGTACCATGGAAACAAGTCGTTGATAAGTATCACACCTCTGTGTTAATACAAACCCGTGAAAATGGTAGATTCCCTCATTAGGAGGATTTATGTCAAGGCGGAACGTACCGACGTGAACTATCTTTCCTATTTACAGAACGTCCATCAAAGGACTCATGTGGTTAAGATCACCGAACATCACGCGAATAAATGCGAGATAGTACAATACCCCAAGCCCTTATCAAAATCACAGGAGAGCGAGTTTCGATGGAAATAATCTGTATAAATCACCAGTTCACTTTCTGTACGCACAGGATGATCCGTAAATAAATAACCTGTCAAGAGAGCATTATTAAAGAGGTTGGCAGTGATGCACTCCTACAGCGAAGAATTGGAAAGCCAAGTCACGATGGGTTCGAGTATGATGGTAGAAATCATTTGCATATCGGCAGCGGCCATCAAGAGGATGTAAAACCGAAATTAGAGGACGGCCTACATCATTTTAATAGGGAACTGAAGAACGAACTCTAAAATAAATAAAGATATAAGAGGCATCGTAAATTTAAAAGGAAGCATAGACGCCCATATTACTTGTGAACTAATTTTCCATTCCGATATACTAGATTTCGAACACTAAATGCTAAAGTAAGTAGTCACAGACTCGCAAATACAGGTGCTTCAAGCACATACAGAAGTGAATATCCCTGTAATTCAATTTCCGCCTCTGAATATTCAGCCTGGATAGCGATTACCAAATTTTAAAATGTGGAAATCACTTTAGTAGAGGTGTTCAGATTGCTAATTACTGCTGCGACTAATACTGATTCAGTTATTTTACCAAGTGGCCAATAACTTATCCACCACCGAAATGATGCAATAGTAAAGGGTATTTATTCACCAGCGCTATGAATTACCAAATGCCTGAATACGTTAAGATGATGTGCTATCCCAATTAGAAGATTTTTGTTGGGCAAGGGAAGTGAATTGGTTCTTAAGGATACGAGGGGCGCAAATATGAGATGTGAGGACTTTAAACGAACTTTAGAGGCACCACCAGCAGTGCTTCCGCTGCCTCGGAGTGTATGGATGTCGTCTGTGAGATTGGCTAGATGGAGGGCCATATCGGTGAGTTGTTTAGCCGTGCGCTGTTTCGTCGATTCTAACTCCTGTTCTAGACTGTTCACCCTCGTTGCAGCCGACGCGGCCTCCCGCCTGTGCCTCTCCACATCACTCCCCACGCACCTTAGGTGCTCGTGCAGACTTCTGATCTGTCCGAAAGAATAGCAAAGTGGAAGTAGCAACGTGCAAGGGCCTCCTTCAACCTAGCGAATAATTCACTTACGCCATAGGCGTTGAGAGGACTGTTAACCATTAGAACATTCTTCAAATTACAAACTACATCCCTTAGTAGCGCAAGTTTAAATGGCTCAAATAAATTGTATGCAAATAAAGGAAACAATATTAACTTATGGTTTTTTTAGTCAGTTACACATAACTAAATGGTGGGTTGACGTTAGAGGAACATTCAAAGGAGCCTACAACTGCCATTTCCCAATGTCTGAAAAGGCAATACTTACTTCCTTATAAGCGTCTGCCACCCGACCTGCATAAAGTATGAGCTGCTTGGTGCGATCAAGTAATTGTTCCTTGTAATATTCTGCGCGAAGTTTTTCCTCGATTGAAGCGTCAAAATCGGTAGAGGGAATTGCGGTAGAGGCATTTGTAACTGTGCCCGGAAGCTAAAGTAAACAATGCGCCATCTTAGAAACTGAATTAAACCTCATAAATACTAAATATTCATAATTCAAAAATCAACGTAATAATGTAGAGAACATCGTTGGACATCCGTAAGCAAATTGAATAAGAGAAAATCGAATTTGGAGAGCCTCTGGTTGATAATTGGTGACAGCCAAATTAAATCACTGAAAACATCACCAAATAGAGCAGCGCTTCAGTACAGTTGGAAATTACCAAAATTATCTGCAAAATATCAAAGGTAGTAAAGGTGGAGACAAAGTGCGACCAAAATATCGGTAAGGAAGATTGTTCTCTTATAGCAAGCACTCACTGCCTGCTGCACAAGCTGATTTCGCCTCGTCTCAAGGCGTTGCTGCAAAGACACTTCTGCAAGCTGGTTTTCGAGCTGAGAAATTCGTTGAAGAAGTAAATTCTCTCTCGAACTCAAATGGATTTGGGAATGAGCTGAACCAGGCCCACGTTCTGGTAAGGAATGCTTTCGATTGGGCACATCTGGCTGAAGAGAAAAACTTGGAGTAGTTTTAATTGCGTCGAGACTGGAGACAGGACTTTGAACTTGGGAATTTTTCAAAGTCTCACTGTAGGCGAGGGCATGGGGAATAATAGCGAAGGTATTGGTAGTCAAATTTTCACGTTCGATCTAAAGTTAATAAGGAGAGAGTAAAGCGGCGCAATCCTAAGCTTGCGTTCGTCGCTTTATTTCACGCAGCATAATCGATTACTGATAGTTTTCGCTGCTCACTGGAAAGGTGGACAGCTCACTAAATTCGAAGTTTATTCTACATCTGATGTCATAAATAGGAAAAACATGCTAGTAACGTTCAACAAAGTAAACGTTACAATACATAAGAGCCATGAAAAGTAATTGAAAATGGGTGCAGTGACTTCAGCATACATCTTGCAAGCATATCGCATCAAGGGAAGATGAAGTGACATCAACAGACGAGGAGGACTGAGTGAGGGGAGAGAGGTTGGAAAAAGTTGAAGTTTGAATAGACACCGAAATACCTCGCGATTTTGAGGAATGGGGATTTGAGGACTCCAGCTCTGCTATCCTAGCCAAAAATTTTGACGATTGCGATACCAACTAAACAAAAAAATAAGTATTAGCACACACCCATCGAGGTACTAATCTACCAAAGCAGTTGGAAATACCTCACCACGCAGGTTATTAACCTCCTGTAAAGCATTCTTAAGAGCAGCATCTTGAGAAAGCCCTTCAACGAAACAGCCGTTAGTCATAGAATGACCACGTTTCTGGTTAGCAGCTTCCAGTTGCTTTTCAAGAAAGACGGCTTGTTTAATAAGGTATTGATTCCGAAAAATTAAACCGTCTTTTTCATGCTCAAGATTGCGTGTATGGATGGCTTGATCTGAGAGCTTGGTCTCAAGTTGAATAACACGATCAACAGATTCCTTGAGGCGATCTTTGATTGTACGGTACCTTTCGCGTAACTTCTTGAACTCAACTCCAAGTTGCGCGTATTTGGAACGCAGAGCATCGTCGTCGCACATCTGGTCTACAGTGATCGGGGGAGAACTACCTACCTTGTTAACAGAAACAAAAGAATATAAACACAGACCAAATGATGGAATTGTGTTAAAGCAGAATAGCACATTAACAGCGAAATGTAATTGATCGTGCCAAGACGTGTGGCTTTTAAAGCGCGCCCTCAGCCCATGACTTATTCACACTGCAGAACCCTACTCACTCGTTCACTGAAGCAAAAGCACATGGGTCCTGTTTAACTAAACCACTACATAGTTTGAGGAAACAGAAAGGTCTATACCACTATGTCTAGTTAACTCACTAGTGTTTAAGGCGAAGACCCCCTCAAAAGCACCAACATAGTGACAAAATGTGTGCAATTAGTGGAATTGTGTTCTCGGGTGGAATACGAACTTAGTCACGAATAATTAAGGAGCACCTAGAAAACCCAACGCCCAATATGTTCAGTAACAACACATCAATAATAAAAAATTAAAACGCAGCGAGCATTTTAAACCGACGTCAAATGCGTATTTTTCGCAAGGGCTATGTCATCATTTCTGCAATGTACAATTATTGTTAAAGGAATAAGCCCAAAATACAGCCCTTTGAGAAAAAGCACAAGCACTCTATGGAGCGTCATGTATTTATTTGGTGTTTTGCAGATTTTCCTTGACAGATAGTATGCACACAATTTAAATGCTATGTTTTTTAAAAAATTTTTTACAAAATGCTGCTATTACAATCACTGTTGGCTTATTAATAAATGTGGTAGGGTAGGGATGGAATTCAAAAAGAATCTCTTTCATAATTTGCACATTAAGGAGCTAATTAATGAGGTCTGTTTTCTGTCACCTCTATCTCTTGGCTATTAGGTTATTCATTGGAAGACGCGGGGACTCATCCCATCTCAGCACTGATAGTATGCAGGTCACTGCGCCTTCCTTAATGACGGAATATCATGTATTAATACGGAGTCGAGCCTATTGGCAATGTTTGGACTGACCGAGGCTAAAGGCATGGCCAAAAATACCTCAATAAATAAAACTACTAGATTAAGGAGATTATTGTATTTTGCTACCTTGTTTAAAAAATCGAGTTGTTGATTACCCACAGGTTATGCTCCG